CTCTTAACCACTGAGCAATCTTTCTGAATGAAAATGGGCACAGTAAAGAAACCAAAATTGCTGTTCTGTGGGTGAAAAGAGAAAAGCTTTTTCCAGACTACCAAGGCTGTTTCCTGGGAAAGCAAGCAGAAGCTACAGGGGAAATATTTCCAGGGCTAAATAGGAATGGGAGAGAGGGGGCTTGGAGGTTCCTTGGGGCTTCTGAACAGGGCCTACGGGAGCCTAGAGCCCTTGACAAGTTGATAGGCTCCACAATAGTATGCTAATGGGAGAGCCACAGGTTCCTTTTGCCAGAGATAAGAACTCCATTTTTTTTTTTTTTTTTTTTTTTGGTAGCAAATCTCAGGGTTACCTGATGGTGATGCTTACTATACATGCACCATCCCATGATCCTTTCTGCATATAATCACATATATGCACAAGTTCTTATGTTATCTGTGGAGTCCCCAAGGCTACCTTGAGACAAGGCAGTATTGTTAGGAGACAGTTGCCTGAGTCTTGCCATCTCAGAAACATCCTCTAGCTTGCTGACAGGGACAAAACTGAGTCCATGTCCCTAGGCTCCAGAACCAACTCCACTCTGCTTCTTCAGATGTTCCAGGTTTGGCTGTTAAACCATAAAGGACGCAAAAGGGAAGGTGCTGTTATCCTGTTCTCTAAGCTAAGGCATACAAGTTGTAAATGTGTTTCCTGTCTTGACTTAATTGTCTACGTGCAGCTTGCCCACTCCTTTGTTCCCTTATCATTCTAAATTCTGGGCCAAAGTCCAAGAGGGAACCTGACTGCAAAAGCTGAAAAAGGCCTTGAAATCAGGTGGCCCAGATAAGGCCCAGTCACCAACATTTAACTTCCTTGCTCAACCTCTTGTGCCAAAATATAAATGCTAAGTGCAACAACCCAGCCCGCACCCCCTTGCTTTGTGTCCCCATCCTTTAAAAACTTTGTACAATCCCCCTTCCAGGATGCAGGGATGTGGCTTCTACCCCAAACCCAACAGCATTTCTTTCTGTAAGCCAGAGTAGGCTGAGATGGGCCCGGTAGAAGAAAGAAGGGTGTAACTATGTTGGCAGGATAGAAGACACTACAAGGAGAGACAAGCACTTGTATTATTATTGAAACAATATGCTTCAAAGAACTAAGAATTCTGGCTAGGACGTGGTACCACAGCTTTTGGGCCCAGAACTCAAGAGGCAGAGGCAGGTACATCTTGGAGTTCCAGGCCAGCCTGGTCAAGAGAATTTCAGGACAGCACAGGCTACACAGATAGACCTTATTTCAAAACAACAAAACAAAACAAACAAAAAAAAAAAAAATCAAAACTTAAAGAATTCTGGGGGAATCCCATGTTGGGGAGTCTGAGTCACAGTCACAGTTACTATTGCTGTAATGAAACACCATGACCAAAAGCAAGCTGAGGAAGAAAGGGTTTATTTGCTTTACACTTCCACAGCATTGTTCATCGCTGAAGTCGGAACAGGAACTCAAACAGGGAAAGAACACAGAGGCAGCAGCTGATGCAGCCTTCCATGCAGAGCCATGGAAGGGTGCTGCTTGCTGGATCGCTCCTCACAGCTTGCTCAGCCTGCTATCCTATAGAACCCAGGACCACCAACAAGCCCAGGGGTGGCAACACCCACAGTGAGCTGAGCCCATCTTAAACCTGAGAATCACAAGGAGAAAAGACCAAATCCATGACTGTCCAATTATAGCGAGCTGTATTTTGGGGTGCCTCCCGGGACTCGCCAGCTGGTTGTCTCATGCTAAGTCAGGGTTTGAGAGAGCAGCCGATGCTGGCCTCTGGAAGCCCCTTTTATAGGAGAGACAAGGTGTACACTCTTAGAAAGATAAAATGAAAGGGAAGGAGCAAGGGTTAGGGATGCCCATCGTGTGAATGGGGTTGTGAGCAGTTTACAGCAGATCTGAAAACAGGAACCTATTCTTAATTACAAATAGAAACCTTAACTTGCAAAGACTTAACACAGGACAAACAGGAACTTACTCTCAACTGTTTCAAGTGTAAACAGAACCCTTAACCTGCAAGGTATATTGTTCCTGTTTTGGTCTCCTACCCTCCCCCCTCAATCACTAATTAAGAAAACACTCCCTACAGGCTTGCCTATTGGAGGCCTTTTCTCAGCTGAGGCTCCCTCCTCAACTTGGTTATACCTTGGGACAAGTTGACAGACAAACTGGCCAGCACATGGCATAAGGGAACCTAAGGGAACCCCTGAAGCCCTGGTGTTAGTCAGAGGAAAGGAGGCTCTTTGCCCTCCAGTAAGAGATTTCACACAGTTCTGACACTTCCTCAGACCGCAGTTTGAACCTAAACCTCAGGTCAGTTTGCTACTCTGGGAGATTCACCAGAGAAAAAAATTCCACCATTTTGGGTCAAATTTATAGCAACCTTTATTAATAAATATTGAACTCTGGTCAGAACTACTCCCTGGGATTTCCCAACTAAGTGGCAAGTTACACATTTGCAGTGGCAAACCAATAGGCCGCCGTACTTTCCCAAGAACTACAACTCCCAGCATTTCAGGAAGCTACCTGGTCCTTGGGCAGGTGGGGCTTATAGTTAGCTTTGGGCATTACAAATTCCCTGAAGATTAAGATGGACTTAGGAGTCACTGGTCTGCTTTACTTACAATTTCTTTTTCTGAAACAGGGTTTGTCTGTGTAGCCTTGGCTGTCCCGGACTCATTTTGTAGACCTCAATCATCTTACAAGAGACCTGCCTGGGGTTAAAGGCATGTACTACCACCCTGATCACTTGTGATTCCTTCTTTTTAAATGTGCATTGGTGTTTTGCCTGCCAGTATATCTGTGTGAGATCCCCTAGAACTGGTGTTACAGACAGCTGTGAGTGAAAGACCCCAGCCTCACACTAAGTTAAACATAGCTAATGCCATTTTGTGAGACACCACTGTTTTGTAAAACTCTGAAGGCCAGATGAGAAACTGGAAAATTACTGAGAAATCCTAGCTGTGTCACCCACTTGGGATATCTGTGGTCAGGCTGCCCCAGTCATACTAAAAACAGTTTGTGTTAATCACTCTCATAGATATCTGTGAGACTGTTTCAGCTAAGATAGGGAAAAACAAAATAACAGGTGGCGGGCCACGTCAAGGGGTTATCCTACCCCCCTTGACCACCCAGTTCCTGGAATCTTGGTGCCCCTGCCAAACTTTGACGCAAATTGTGGTCTCGTGTAAACGTACCAATCAGCCCCCTGTAACCATGCCCTCTCGCTTCTGTACCAGTGCTTCTGCCTCTAAAACCCTATAAAAACCCCAGCTTCCCATCTAGGGGGCGCGCAGGGTTCTCCCGAGTGACCTTGCTGCCCCGAGTACTCGTGAATCAAAATAAAAGCCTCTTGCTGTTTGCATCCGAATGGCCTCGTTGTTCTTTGGGAGGGGGTCTCTCTGACGGAAGATACCCTCCGGGGATCTTTCAGTGAGCTGTACTGGGAACTGAACTCAGGTCCTCTGGAAAAAGAGCTAATGTTCTTAACCACTGAGCCATCTCTCCAGCTTCTATGATTTTTTTTTTTTTTTCAAAATAGGGGTCTTTTTGTGTTGCCTTAGCTGTCCTGGACTCCCTTTGAACTCACAGAGATCCTCCTGCCTCTGCCTCCCTGAGTGCTGGAATTACAGCCGTGTGCCACCACGGCCTGGCAGCCCCTATGATTCTTTAATGTAGCCATATCCAATTAAATCTTTCTCTGTTTTTTAAACTAGTACTGTCTCTTTATTTGGTGTATGTAGGCCCAGTGGCCAAACCCAGCTTGCTGGGGCCATGGTCCAGGCACTGACCCTAAAAACTCCAGTCATGAGGAAGTAAAAAAGATGGAAGAGTTAAATAAGTTACATTCCTTGCAAGCGTGCAGAGAAACTGGAGCCTTCTGGTTTCTTTTGTGCAAGACCACCTTCCTCTTCCTGCCACAGAGCTGGCTGACTGGTGCTGCAAGTGAGTTAGTTCCCCACAGGCCCAACTTGAACTTGAGCTGAGTGGGCCCGTTTGAGTATTGAGCTTGATCTCTGGCGCTCAGTGTAGGAATCCGTCCGCATTACTGCCCTCTTCTAATTTGTATTTACTAGGAGGAAGAGGTGTGGTCAGGTTATAAGGCTGGTCTGATTCTTTCAGTAGGAAGCAGGGGAGTTAGTTAGGAAGGTGGAAGGCAGGGAGAACCTATGGCTTGTTGCTGCAATATGTCCTGCTCGGCCTGCTCTCTCCTCTAGGGCACCTTGAACTTGAATCCTGACAGCTAGTTAGTTGAATAGCTGGGACCTTATCCTACAGGTCAGCTCAGAGGTCACATAAGGGGTGAGCAGCGTCAGCAGGTGAAGGTCCTGCCCTGTCAGTGATGGGAGGGGATCCAGCCTCAAGAGCCCAAGCTGTTGTGCCATCCCCTCAACCCCTGTCCCGAGACAAGAGAAGGTTTGACTTAGAAGAGAAGGGGAAGGTAAACAAGGACCGGATTGAGGATGTGACTCAGCAGAGTGCTTGCTTAGCATGCAGGATGCCTTGGGTTTGATCTTCAGAATAGAGGACCAGAGTTTGGATCCTCAGCATCCACACAAAAAAAAAATTGGGTGAGGCATCTGTAACCATGGCATACCTTTAACTACGGCAATGGGGATGCAAAGACAGGTGGATCCCAAAGGCTTAATGCCCAGCCAATAGCCGAAGAGATGTGGTCCAGTTTTAGTGAGAGATACTATCTCAAAAGATGTGGTGGACAGGTCCAGGGATCTAGCTCAGTGGTAGAGTGCTGGATTAGTGTCTTAGGTTTCTTCCTCTCCCACTCCCTTTTCTTTTTGGTTTTTCAAGACAGGTTTCTCTGCATAGCCTTGGCTGTTCCGGAACTTACTGTATAGACCAGGCTGGCCTCGAACTCAGAAATCCTACTGCCTCTGCCTCCCAAATGCTGGAATTAAAGGTGTACACCAACCACCACTTCCCAGCTTCTTTTTTTTTTTTTTTT